GATGTCTGAGGGGTTCCTAACAAATAAAAAACTTGACCTCTCTGTGCTTACCCCCTATTGTATTCCACCAGTCAAGGCTTCACCTTGTCCCTCCCTCTTCATTTTCTTGCTCTTCTGCTTTCTAGGGTCTTTTCCCCCTCTATTGTGGATTGTCTTCTTCCACGCTAGTATTTTAATGGCAACTTCTCTGTCTTTCCTCCTCCTTCCAAAGAAAGCCGTGGCCTAGGAAGGAGTGAGCACTTGGAGCAAAAGAGGCTGCATCCACACTGTAGAAATAATACCATTTGACACTACTTAAACTGCCATGGTTCAATGCTATGGATTCTTGGGATTTACAATTTGGCACCAGATTGCTCTGACAGAGAAGGTTAAAAATCTCACAACATTAAAAATCCTTGAATTTCATAGCATTGAGGCATGGCAGTTAAAGTGGTGTCAAACCGCATTATTTCTGCAGTGTAGATGCAGCCAAAGTCTGCATAGAGCCATGTGATGAATTTCTGCGATTCCAAATTCTTTTTCTTCTGAGGCTCTCCTGTCTTACTGTATCTGTATAGAGCCACCTCAGCTTCTAATAAATTTTTCCTAAAACAACTACTAAGTTAATGTGTAGGAGTGAATTCCACATATCCATGGATTTTGACTAATTTGGGAACTAACAAGTTAACCAATTAATATAACACCCCCAAGCCCTGCTTGTACTATGGATTGGCACAATATTTACAGACAAATTTCTACAGTTGTTCATTTAACTTAATTTTCTTTTCTTTTCTCGTTTTGCAGATACACGTAGCCCATTTGTAAAGATGAACAAGCAGATACCAGAAACAATACTTATGATTGATGGGCAGGAGCTTATTATCCCATGCAGAGTTACAGCACCGGATATCCCTGTTAAATTAAGAATGGTACCTTGAAACTTTTTTTTTTTTGCTTCCAAAAACTTCATTGCTTATCCTATTCACTCTATGTGGGGAATGCAATTACATAAATAACATTTTTATTTAGGCAAATGCAGTGAAGATTGTGTTCTGTACTAGGAGAGGTATTGTGTAATTTCTTATGTAATTTTAATTGTTGTTGTAAGCCGCCCCAAATATTTGTCAGAGGGGCGGGGTATAAATAAATTATTATTATTATTATTATTATTATTATTTGTCAGATTTACACAAAATCATTTGGCGATGTCAGTGTAGCCCTGTATTGCCCACGAAGGCAGGAGCATTACACTACAGATGCAAATTTGAACAGGATGAAAGCCAGTGTTACTCTCTGGAAGAAGTACATTCTTATTCTTAATTTGTACCATGTGCACACTGTTTTACAAACTAGTGCAAAAAGACAACCCCCCCCAAAAAAACACGTCCCCATGGAACTAGAATCTAAATTTCATGAATATGGGAAACAAAGAGGAAGGGGAGGAACATAGATAAATAGATGCGGGGATGGGCACATATTTATTTGACAAGATTTCTTTGACGACAGAAGATTAACTGCCAAATCAGGACAGTTGGAAGGCATGATAGATGGTGCACTTCTAATCCAGGACTAGAAAATAGTCCAGTACAACTGCTGTAATCAGTGAGTACTCTTAAAACATCAAGCTGAAAGTAGTTAATCTGCCTCTAGTCCTCACTTTTATTTTCTTGTCAATTTTTTACTGAGGTTGCTGCAAGACTCATAGTTTCTTCTGCTTCTACTTCATCCTGTCCAACCATCTCTCTAGCTCACACTGCATCTTCCTTCTTCTCACACAGTCTTGTCTTTTCATTTAGGATGGAGCCCTCAGTCTGGATATTTAGTAGGGTTTTTTTAAATGTACTATATTTCTCTTTGGAATGCATAGACTGTTGGTAAACTTATCAGTTTGTAAAGCTTGCAAGTCAAAGCCACGTGCCTGAATATCTGAGATCCAGTTTTATTTTGCTATGAACTAGAGTGATTCCAAACACATGACTAGGTAATGGGCTTCATCTAATGGTGTTCTTCTTGTCCTTTGTATAGTCCTACATATGGGCCAATGTCAGCACAGGGTAGAGCGTGGGATTTTCTTAAGCAACTTGACAAAAGAGTGTTGTTGGGTTTTAAAGCATTACATAAAAAGGGGAAAGAAAGTGGGTCCAACGATCGGCAACTTCAAGATAAACTGAACTAATTAAAAGCATAATTGTTTGTGTATATCAGTCCACTTCTTCAAACCAGGGCATCTAAAGAAGTGGATTGATATCCACAAAATCTTATGCTAAAATAGATCAGTCTTATACATGCTGCTAGATTCTGCTTGCCCCTCTTTTACTTTTTATGCTGTGACTGACTGACACTGCTATTTCTTTGCGATTACTGTGTACGTGATTTTACTAGCAGAGCAATGATTTACCTACTTTGTTTTATTCTGATCATTTGAGGAGCAATAACAACTAGAATTTTCTGCTCATGACATAAAAACCAAGAATATTCTGCTTTTACTCCACTTTTCATTTTGTTGTGCTTTAATATCTGCCTTTTAATTCCCTCCAAGACTTTTCTTCTTGGTTTACCAAGAAAGATCTGCACTACCCATCCTCTGGCACAGAAGGAAAAAAGTTCTTAATAATTGTGTGGAGCTGATAACTCCTTAAACTGCTTAGGTGAAAGGTGTTAATTTTGTTTGTTTGAACCACAAGCACATACAGCATGTCATTAGCAGCTTAACATCCCAGGAATCAAAATTTAGTTGCTATGTGGTGCTGTTTAAAAGAAGAGTGCTGGTCCCATTTGCTAGGTTATAATTTTTTTTGTTCTTTTTTTCTGATTAGGAATAGATATACATGAACGTTTTGTAACTTTTGTAAATTTGCTGAAAATCCTATACATATATATTAACATACAGTTTATATCATAGATTGATTCACATGGTAAATAAATTACCATACTTCTTCACTGGTTTGGATTGGTTTTAACTGTAATGTTCAATGCATCATAATCTTCATAACACAGTGGAATAGAAAGTGGTATATCATAAATTGAATTGACTCTTTGCTCCCATTGCCTCTCCTCAGTGATGGCTGTGCGTGTCCCTTCTGATTAATGGCAACCCTAAGGCAAACCTGTCATGGGGTTTTCTTGGCAAGTTTTATTCAGAGGAGGTTTGTCATTGCCTTCCCTGAGGCTGAGTGTGTACTGGCTACCAAATCAGTAGGGCTGTGAATCTTCTGTAGTCGCAATTCAAAGGAGCCATCCAAGGTGCTGATAGGGTTTAACACCTTGCTTAGCCTCTTTAGAGTCTGGATTAAAACCAGGAACAGATGCACAGCCATACTGACATGAGAGTAGTCAAGTGCCACATCAGAGTTAAACCACCAGCCCAAGAAATTGCATTCTATAATATGAATGATCCCATTACTTCCTGTAGACATTTTTGACTTTGGCGGAAATTTTATAGCAGACAGAATCTCCTGAACCAGAAGGTTATGTGTGCTGCTTATTGTCAGGATCTGTATGTGCAGTGATGAATCAGTTCAGAGAACAAAAGGGAAAATGTTTATATCTGGCAGCAGGAACTACAATAGAATCCCTAGAATTCAAGACACTTTAGAATGTCGGCCAGCAGGCTATATAATAACACACAGCCTTTGTATATTTAGGGCACACTCCTTTCATTATTTCAATGGTTATTATGGCTTCTTAGCAGATGCTGTAAAGATAAGGAAGTATATTCTACAGTGTCCCAGTGGTGCTAAGCTGTGATTGTTGCTTATTCTATGAAAGCATCTTTTCTGTGTGAGGAAATCAGATGGAATGAAGGGAGGTGCCTTCCTTTTGCAGTTATGAATGTGTGATGATACAAGAACACCGTATCTATGTAGAATGAAAGAATGCACTTAGAGGCCTCTTGCTGTATCAGCACAGATTTCTAGATTCTGACTCTAGGCATGGGCAATTGTGGAGGAGGTAGGGGTACTTTTTGCTTTTTGAAATCCCTTAAGGGGGGCACAGTGGCATATCAAAGCCCCAAGAAACCCTAAAAATAAAAATGGGTGATAATTTTCCCCCATTTCCAGGATTCCATAGGATGGAGCCATTATAGTTAAAGCAGAGTCAAAACTGTATTAATTCTGCAGTTTGTTAGCAGCCTGAATCTAGACAAGATCATGGCACAAAGTTGAGGTGGATCAGCTGACTCCAGGACTGGCTTCTAACCTTTCTTGATGGGATTACACTTTCCTCATAAAAGAAAGAGTATGTAGCCCATCTGCTCTTTTCAAAACTAGTGCAGTTTTGTCCCTCTCTGTCAAATCATGTTGGACATTGGGGCACCCATTAGATCTACCATTATCAGAGCAATGGATACTGTCTGAATTTTCCCACTGCTTCTCCTGCAACTGTGAAACAGGAGCTCTGCTGATCTAGTCTAGTAGTGGAGGAACTCAACACAGTTATAAAAGGAGTGGTGGTAAAATCCTAAATGGATTTTCTGCCCCCTCTTTGGCAGATCCACCAGTTCCCCTGCTGGACATAACAAAGAAGGGGAAGGGGAATAAGTGGTGGTGGTGAGTTTTCATCAATGCTAGAATCATGTATACTTCCTTTTACTGTGAATACTAGCGATCAGCCTTCAGTTTGTATAAATGGGAACAATATGTTCAAATTTCGAGTCAAAAGGACCAAAACTAAACTTGAAACCCATGGTCTCAGGCTGGATTTAAGTATATTAAATATTAACATTTTGTGCATAATATCATTGTGAGTTTGCCAGGGGTGGAGGCATTGGAGAGAGACAGGTTTAATTCACAGAAAAGCCACTGGAGTTTGGGATGTCAGGTCATCCTAACCCATACTTGCTCATTAGTGAATCTGGACCTGTGCTGTTATCTCACAAGTCTAGTGTATGGATTTGTTGATGTGTGCCTTCAAATTGTTTCCAAATCATGACAACCCTAAGACAACCCTATCATGAGGTTTTCTAAGGCTGAGAATATGTGACTTGCTAAAGTCACCCAGTGAGCTTCCATGGCTGAGTGGGTCAATGTGGCATAGTGGTTTGAGTGTTGGACTGTGACTCTTGAGACCAGGGTCCAAATCCCTGCTCGTCCATGAAACCCACTTGGAAACCCTGGCCACATTCTCTCAGCCTCAGAGGTTAGCAATGGCAACCTCTCTCTGAAGAAACTTGCCAAGTAAACCCTATGATAGGTTTGCCTTAGGGTCATCCTAAGTTGGAAATGCCTTGAAGGCACACACCACTACCACCAGTCTCCAGAGTCATAGTCCAACAGATGAATAGGGTGTATTTATTCCTTGGAAAGTTAGTTTGCATTTTTATATAAAAATTATGGTTTTATTACAAACTCCCCATAAAAGGAGTATCTCTTGCCTGGATTGAGCTGCCATCAACATTAGAAGACACTTCCCCTACACACTAAAAGCAAAACCATTATTGCTTGAAGTGATGTGTCTGTTGATGAAAGAAGAACCATTCATTACTTAACCTTCTGATTATACCAGATTGGTCAACAGGAAGCCAGCAATATGGAAAATGGGGGAAGTCCAATGGGTGGTTACTGTGTCATTCTGAATAAGGACATTTTGGGGAAAACCGAAATGGTCTATGTTTAAATTAAGATTTTCTTGTTGCAACACAGTGAGGCTGCTAGAAACCTTCTCAATTCTTTATAAAAATTGAATGCTACTACTGCGTGTATGTATGTATGTATGCATTTTTAAATTTTTTTAGTAATAAATAATAATAAATAATAATAAAATTTATTTTTACCCCACCCCTCTGTTAAAAACAATTGAGGCAGCTTACAGCAATTAAAAATTATATCAATAAGTGTTTATTATTTTAATGGTTTTATTATTCAACTTGTTCTTAGTGATCTTTATTAGTCACCTTGAGATCTTTTTTTAAAGAAGTGACAGGGCTTGTAAAAAGGTAATAAAAAGTACATGCACTCAATAATGCATATTGATTAGCATTGGATGGTTTTCTTTTTTTCAAATTCCTTTATAAATGTTAATATAGAAAATAGTAGAAGGAAGCCCCTAAGAAGAGACAGAATTAATTTGTGATTTTTCTTTTTAGAATCAAAGAGAAAGCACGATTCCTGATGGGAAGACAATAATCTGGAATAGTACTAAAGGATTTATAATACCAAATGCAACACACAACTTCATAGGCCTTCTCACCTGTGAAACAAATATTAATGGACATGACTATAGAACTAATTATCTCACATTCAGGCAGGGTAAGTATCTTTTTATTCCCTTTGTTTTTCATTTCAGCTACTCAGCCAAAGTAATAGCTCATCTGATTCATTTTTTCTTTCCTGATGTGTTATATAGCCAATGAAATCCTTAGTGTCCGGCTAAATGCCTCAAGACCAGTCAAGTTATTAAAAGGACACAAGCTTGTCCTTAACTGTACTATCACTGCAACTTGGAACACAAGAGTGCAAATCACATGGAGTTATCCTGGTGAGGTGGGTAATCTTGCTGTATTTAGAAAACTAATAACTAACAAGAAGCTCTTCTAATAAGAATTTAAAGGAAATGACATTCATGTCTTTTACATCCTATTGCAGTGATTCTTAGTTCTTGAATGCCCTCCCCGTGTTGCTTCATTGAATGAGCAAGTTTTTTACACAACGCCGTTGAGTACAGATTTCATAATAATAAGTTAAAAAAAGAAAAAGTAAAATCAGCCAGGGAAACTTCTGGGTTCTTATTACCCAATGTTAGCTAAGAATTGTTTGACACTTTATTTTTTTTTAATTAGACAGTTTGTCATGAAGTAGCAGACAGGCTCCCACCTCAATTTTAGAGAAGGCACTGCAGTCTATTTGTTTGAGATGATAACAGTTATCTTTTAAAAGCTGCAAGCATGACCCTAAAAACCTCTTTACCTCACCAATTCTGGAATATCTGCAGAAAGATTATTACTTATAAACATCTGTTAGGAGTCCAAATTTTTAAAACTAAAGCTAAATTGTATTAATGGTGATGAAATAGGCAAGTGGCTCATAAATACATTTGCTTTATGTACAAAATAGCTAAAATTCATCTGCTTATTATTCATCTACTTTTCCTGTGTGTGCTTTAACATTGCTTCCAATTCCCTAAGACTGTAAGAATATATACCTGCAAGAATATCACATTCCTTACCAAAGTAATTCTATAATACTTTTTTTAGACCACAGCTTGCAAAATTCCCCAGTAAGCATTGCTAGTATAGTTAAAAATACAACATTTCTAAGCTCTGTTCCTCATGTGTTTACTGCCATTTCCATTTTCTTTTCTTTCATCTCTTGTCTGCCTTGTGTTTGTTTCTAGGTTGCAGACAAGAGATGAAATGTATCACCTCATTCATTGTAAAGTACCATGTATATCAATATGCATGCATAAACAGATGAATGAATGAATGAATGAACGAACGAATGAACACAGAGATAATGATAAAAATGAGATAAAAATGCAGCCTGTTTGAGATCTTTTTTGTCACCCTGAATAATGTAACTTAACCTAAAAAAAATACACTTTACCTCATCAATGGTCATGTGACTTTTATTTATATTTTATTTATACTTTATTTATACTGTATAATAGAAAAATCCAAAACCAGATCTTGAATTCTGGAAGTTGTAATTCAAAAGAGCAACATGAGTGACATTGGTTAATGGAAACCACTCATCACAATCATGGTTTCAAAACCTTTCCTTTAATTTGGAAACATTACTTTGATTGGACTACAACTCCCAAATATTGTTAAAATAATTCTGGGGAAAGTATTAAACACAAAACTGAGAAAACTAAGTCTCGGTGGAGTCTCCTTCCTTGGAGGTCTTTAAGCAGAGGCTGGATGGCCATCTGTCAGGGATGCTTTGATTGGGAGTTCCTGCATGGCAGGGGGTTGGACTGGATGGCCCTTGTGGTCTCTTCCAACTCTATGATTCTATGATTCTATGAAAAGTTGTTTTCCTTTTCTTTTCCATACGGAGCTAGGAAAACTTAATTTGAAATTTCTATTTTGATTTAAATGATGTGCTCTGAGCAATTGGGATTGGGATTTCTGAGACTGGTTCTGGCCTTGCTGAAAAATGTTGTCTCTTCACCCCAGCTTAGGGTTGTGAGATTTTTGAAAGAACAATGGGGAACAGCCCTTTCTGTTGCCAGAAGAGGTTGTCTTGCTGGAGTTCCAGGATTACACAAAATTAAGGATCTCATGGGAGCCCAGAATTTTACAAGGCTTGAAGTGGGTCTTACATAGACCTGTGTCACCTTATACTTGCCTCAGTCACTTGTGCATGCAGAGCTGAGAGGAGGAGGAGGAAGAGGAGGAAGAGCCTGAACTAGACAGATGGACCCCTGCAGCATTTGGTATTGAATTGAGAACATTCTTCTGCATACCAAAATGCTTGGAGCAGGGGTAGGCAACCTTTCCCCTTTAAGGGCCGAGGGACTTCAGCTCCCAGAATCCCAGGAGCTATTGGCCAACATGGGACTATTGGCCAACATGGCTGAGGCTTTTGGGAGCTGAAGTCCCTCGGCCCTTAAAGGGGAAAGGTTGCCTACCCCTGGCTTGGAGGTTGGTTTGTTGTGAGCACAGCTGTCATCCTCTCTTCTCGCTCACTCTGGATCAAAAAAGATGGGAATTGGGGCCCAAAGACTAAAATATGAGCAGCTATAGTTGGGTCCTTCTAGACATCTGGGCCCTGTTAATTTGTACGAGATTCCCTCCACTCCTATCATGCGTAATGATATCATCAAGGTCTACTCTTATCATATCATCAGGGACATTTCGTACGTTTCAGGTTTTTGGTCCTGGAATCTTGGGATCCAAGATGCTCCTGACCTGGCAACCCTTAGAGTGAAGCAGTTCCTGTTTTCCTTTGTATATCTCTTGGTCTATATTGCCCTGTCTAATACTGAACAAGACATTATCAAGACATCATTCCACATGGACCTTGTCAGTGCTAACTGCTTTCCTTTGGGGTAAACTTCTTTCTCCCATATAGGCAAGCAAAAGAGGCATCATTACTAGAAGCATTGTACAAAGGAAAGACAAACCCAATCTATTCTACAGTCTTCTTGTTATTGATAAAGTCCATAGTATTGATAAAGGACAATACACTTGCAATGTGAAGAGTGGCCCATCTCTGAAATCAGTTAATACAGCTGTTCATATTTATGGTAAGAAATGCTTTGTACGTACAGAATATTCTTGCTCTCCATTGTCACACCTCATCCCTCCCTTGGCTATCTGCAGCTACATTTGGAACAATGTCAGTCATAGCAGTTGCAAGGATTTCTAGCTACTTGGTTTTACTCTTAACTAGGCTACAGGAGAGATTTCCAAGCTTCAAAGCAGATGTGGGAAAAGTGCAGACCATAGAATACCTGCAGCCATGAGGGCCATCATTGAAGCCTACCCACAGATTTTGGGAGGGAGTGTCAATTGCTTTTTATTTTGCCCTAATAATACTGTTCCACCAGTATCTGGAGTGTACTGCTGGCCATTATGGGGCATATAGGGGCTTCCTGCAGATAGGACTGTTTCCCAAACAACAGCCCTATAAGACCAGATCTTCTAATGTCTCCTAAGACATTTTAGTCTTCTGCACTCAGAGGACATGTCCTCTGAGGCTGGCTTATGAACATCTCCTAAGACAGGGGTAGGCAACCTTTCCCCTTTAAGGGCCGAGG